CAGAATGCCTTCCCTCTTCCGAGGATGTCCCTTGGGTCTCCTGGCCAGAGTGCAAGGGGGCTTCTGCTGTGAGGGGCCGCTCTGGAGCCTCACCCCTCCCCTGCTCACCTTTGGGCAGGCATTGTATGTTACTTGTTGCAATTACACCCCATGCCCATGGTTCCCCCATCCCCTCATTTAATCCCAACATCCCTGAGAGGTAGGGTAGGTTAAGAAGAAGAAAAAGAGAGTTTTGGATTTGATACCCCGCTTTATCACTACCCGAAGGAGTCTCAAAGCGGCTAACATTCTCCTTTCCCTTCCTCCCCCACAACAAACACTCTGTGGGGCTGAGAGACTTCAGAGAAGTGTGACTGGCCCAAGGTCCCCCAGCAGCTGCAGGTGGAGGAGCAGGGAAGTGAACCCGGTTCCCCAGATTACGAGTCTACCGCTCTTAACCACTACACCACACTGGCTCTCAAGAGGGAGCGACTGGCCCCCAAGGTGAGCTTCATGGCTGAAAGGGATTCGAACCCTGCTCTCTCCCAGGTCTTAGCCTGACACTCTAACCACTGCACCACACAGCCCCCCTGCTGGAAGCCTCCCACCAGACCCTGGCGGGTCTTCTGTGAAGGCGGCTTAGCAACCAGCCTTGACTCCACCTGCTGGTCTCACCCACTTCCTCACCCACATTGCTTCATCACCTTGTAAACCAAAATACCCCAGAGGGACTTGGCTTGAATGATGTCTGCAGCATTCCCACTGACCACTAACTCAATCACAAGGCTAGTTGGGCAGAATTTATTGTTGACAAATCCATACTGGCTGCTGCTAATCACTGCCTTGTTATGCAGATGCTTATAAATGAGCACATCCATCACCTTCTCCTCTTCTTTCCAGGAACCCAAATCAGGTTGGGAAGAGACCTTGGGCTGGACTCTTGGGCTCTTGACCACGGGGCCAAGACGTGGCAGAGGGCGTGTGCACCTGGCCGGACTGTTGTTCAGGGGCAGAATGGAGGGCTGCCCCCACTGGAGCCCCTCCTGGTGCCATTTCCTATTGGAGAAAGCCCAGGCAGCAGGTTGAAACCCACCCCATCTCACAGTCCCAGGAGAGCAGTGGCCCTTGAGGGCAAAGATGTCAGCAGAGGGATCATAGAACTGTAGAGGTGGAAGGGGTCGCGAGGGCCATCTAGTCCAGCCCCCTGCCTGCAATGCAGGAATCCCAGCTAAAGCATCCCTGACAGGTGGTCACCCAACCTCTGGCTGAAAACCTCCATTTGAGTCTTGGGTCCTCCCCTCTGGAGAAGCAGAGAACAAGTTTTCTCCATCTTCCATGGGGCACTTGAAGATGGCTCTCCGATCTCTTCTCAGTCTCCTCTTTTCCAGGCTAAACATACCCAGCTCCTTCAACCGTTCCTCATCTGGCTTGGTTTACAGACCGCCATCTTGGTTGCCTTGGAAGGTGGCGGACTCTCCTTTCTTGGAGGTCTTTAAGCAGAGTTTGGGTAGCCCTCTGTCATGGATGCTTCAGTTGCGATTCCTCATTGCGGGGGGCTGGTCTGGATGACCCTCGGTGGCCCTTCCACCTCTACAATTCTATGAGTCTATGGGTCGTGCCAAGAGGACTCTGTCACAGCTAAAAATTGGCCGCTGTTTCTTTAATGCTAAAAGAACTAAGTCAGCTGGTTGTGTTTGGTTTCTGTAAAAGCTGTCAGTCGTGGTTGGAGAAGAAGACTTTTTAAGAATACAGTGGTACCTCGGGTTACATACACTTCAGGTTACAGACGCTTCAGGTGATAGTCTCCGCTAAGCCAGAAATAGTACCTCGGGTTCAGAACTTTGCTTCATGATGAGAACAGAAATCATGCTCTGGCGTCGCGGCAGCGGCAGGAGGCCCCATTAGCTAAAGTGGTGCTTCTGGTTAAGAACAGTTTCAGGCTAAGAACAGACCTCCGGAATGAATTAAGTACTTAACCCGAGGTACCACTGTACAAGCAGCAATACTCTGCAAGAATTTGTTGTTGTTGTTTAGTCGTTTAGTCATGTCCGACTCTTCGTGACCCCCTGGACCAGAGCACGCCAGGCACCTCTGTCCTCCACTACCTCCCACAGTTTGGTCAGACTCATGTCTGTAGCCTCGAGAACACTGTCCAACCATCTCATCCTCTGTCGCCCCCTTCTCCTTGTGCCCTCCATCTTTCCCAGCATCAGGGTCTTTTCCAGGGAGTCATCTCTTCTCATGAGGTGGCCAAAGTACTGGAGCCTCAGCTTCACGATCCAGTGAGCACTCAGGGCTGATTTCCTTAAGAATGGATGTGTTTGATCTTCTTGCAGTCCATGGGACTCTCAAGAGTCTTCTCCAGCACCATAATTCAACACCATAATTCTGCAAGAATACTCTTTCTCAAAGACTCTTTTGTGCCAACTAAGGTCTGAGGAGCAGGCAAAGGCGTAAAAAGGAGGTCAGAACCTTTCCTTTTTCAAACCCTGACAGGTTATGGGCCCCTCCCCGCCCCACGATCCCCACGGCCCCCTCCTGCCTCTCTCTGTGCTGGTGGATGACAGGAGGCCAAGGCAAGGGCTGGCCATCCTTGCAGCAGTTCTTCTTTCTCCACAACTGGGGGGGGGGGGACGGGGGGGGGACGGGCTCTGGGCTGCAAGGAGAGGTGACAGGCAGAAGACATTCATTAGCCTGGATGCTTCATGACTCTTCCAGCTCCTCTTAATGGACTTCAAAGATGGAGATAGATTTCTTTGACAGCTACAAGAGCTGGATTTAAGATGCTGGCAGGAAACAGACGCTGCCTCAACGCTGCCAGGATTCCTGACACCCCCTCAAGGAGCCGGGGGGGGGGGCAGGCAGGAAGCAAGCAAGCAAGGAAGGAAGGAAGGACGGCCACCACAGTCATGTATCAGTATTTAGGAAACTGAGGCTGACTCCACCAGCAGAGGACTTTGTTTTCTGCCCCCTGGAGACCCACCTGGCCTGGTGGGGGGGACGACTGGACCACAGACACCACATGGGCCTGCTTGGTGGGTTTCTTGAATTGTACAACCCCCTCTTCCTCCCCAAGGAGCTCAGAGAGGCCAGCTTTACGCTGGACACAGAGATGGTTGGGCCAACCATCACCTGACCACCCCCAGTGGAGAAGAGGGATTCCGGTGGGAGGGAGTTCCTCAGCTCACCTCTGTGCTGTGTAAGGAAGTCCTTTCTTTTCTCCATCTTGAATCTTCCAACATTCCCCTTGATTGGATGTCTCCTGGGGGGTGGCGGCACTGAATTTGCCCACAAGGATCCAGCAATAGCATTTCCCAAGAAGCAGGGAGCGGGCAAGAAACTAAGAAGCTCTCAGTCCCTCCCTCCCTCACCCGGAAGGGGCACAGGGCAGCCTGGCATGGGAGAGGGGGCCTCCCCAGGGGGCCTCGTGCCAGGCCGCCTCTGCCCCCGCATGAACTATGGCCTGGCCAGCATTTGGGGAACTGACCCCATGGTGTGTGTCTGTGTTGGAGAGACACCTCCTCATTCTTTTTACCTGCCCCAGAAGACATTTCTCTGGCAAACAATAAGAATGGTAACTGTGAGAGTAAACCCAGAGAGAAGAAGAAGAGTTTGGATTTGATATCCTGCTTTATCACTACCCGAAGAAGTCTCAAAGCGGCTCACATTCTCCTTTCCCTTCCTCCCCCACAACAAACACTCTGTGAGGTGAGTGAGGCTGAGAGACTTCAGAGAAGTGTGATTGGCCCAAGGTCACCCAGCAGCTGCAGGTGGAGGAGCAGAGACGTGAACCCGGTTCACCAGATTATGAGACTACCGCTCTTAACCACTACACCACACTGGCTCTCGTCAGAGAGTAAATCCTATTGAGTTCAAAGGAACTTAGTAAAGGTAAAGGGACCCCTGACCATTAGGTCCAGTCGTGGCCGTCTCTGGGGTTGCTGCGCTCATCTCGCTTTACTGGCTGAGGGAGCCGGCGTACAGCTTCCAGGTCATGTGGCCAGCAGGACTAAGCCGCTTCTGGCAAACCAGAGCAGCGCATGGAAACACCGTTTACCTTCCCGCCGGAGCGGTACCTATTTATCTACTTGCACTTTGACGTGCTTTCGAACTGCTAGGTTGGCAGGAGCAGGGACCGAGCAATGGGAGCTCACCCCTTCTGAGTAAGAATGCTTCGGATTGCAGTGCAAGGCTGCCCAGTCTTGACACAGTTACCTGGGAGTAAGCTCCATTGAATACAGTGGGAGTTACTTCTCAGTAGACCGTGTAAGGCTCCCTTTACAATAAAGGAATAAACGAATAAAGGAAGAATTGCAATGAAAGACTTTAGAATGGATGAGTGACCTTTTCCTTCTTCATATCCCAGCTTTGCCATTTCTTTCACTTGGTGCAGGAATTTCATTTCCAGTATGAACAGAATTGGGTTTTTTGCACCTGCACCACTTCTAATTATTCTCCGAGATGTGGATGGAAGGAAAAAGGGAACCCAGGGCTTTCTGGGATCAAATCCTAACCCAGGTTGGCTTCTGTAATTCTAGGATTGTCCCTGGAAAATCGGGACACTTGCCAGTTTTGTGGGCATGCTGGAAATGTGCCCCCCCCCCACTTTCCAAAAGCGTAACTGGGGATCAGGTGGGGAGTGTTTTCATTTCCTTCTTCTGCTGCTGAGAGGCTCCAGCAAGGAGGGCTCTCGGGGGGGGGGGGAGCTGAGGCTGCCAGAGGCCCCACCAAGGCCGTTTCCATGCCACCCCCTCCCACCCCCCTCCTCCCACAGCTCAGAAAAGGCACAGGAGATGAGCATCGCCCCAGAATGGATGATTCAACAGCCGCTGGCATATTTAAGTGGAGAAAGTGATGATGCCTGCTGGGGGTGGGGGAGGCGAGGGAAGGAAAGAACAAAAATCCCACATCCCCAGGTATTTCTCTCTCTCACCCCCCCCCCCCCCGGCAAAATCCAGGGACTGAGACCAGCCTGCCACTTTCTCCGCCGCGCTGAAAGCAGGAAGGAGACATGAGACAGATTACGTTGGAGAACCTTTATTTTTCCGACAGACACACAACCATGAAAAAGACCCCTGACCCCCACTAAAAGGGGGGTCTGGCACAAACAGAAGCAGGGGGTGTGCAGTGAGAAGGGGCACAGGGAAGCAGACCCCAGGCCCCACTGCAGGGAGCAGCCTCAGGGGATGTGCAGAGTGTCAGGGTCTGCCTTACGAGAGGGGTGGCCCCCTTGCCAGGTCCCACGGCCAGCCCAGGTGGCTCCCTGTGGGTGGGATGGCGGGGGGGGAGGGGACAACCAGTTTGTTTTCCACCTTCAGCAGCCAAACATCTTGGCTCAGGTGGGGGTCTCCTGAGAAGCCCCTGCCTGGCTCTCTAGAGGGCGGCCATGGTGACGGGGGGACTACTGAGGAAAGGCTCTGCAGGAAGGCTGCTCCCTTCCGGAATGGCCCACCAAACCTGCACCCAAGGCCACCGATTTGGGGAGTGGGTTTCCATGTCCACCTGCCCTCAGAGCAGCCCTGCTTCCCACACAAAAAACATCCACATAAAAAACCCCGAAATTAACAAGATGACAAGCAAGCCAGCCCAAACCAAGGTGCCCAGCAGGGCCTTTGAAGCAGAGCAGATGTCCTTTTCAGAGGATGGGGAAACTCCAGGTGCAGCAGGGAAAAAGTCTGGGGCTGCTTTTGGTGTGGGGGCGAGGGGGAACTAAAGGAGACACAGGGGTGTGTGGTGTGAAGTGGGGTGTATTTTCAAGATTAAGCTAAGGTGTGAATGGGCCCCACCTGCATTGTCTCAGGGATAGCAGAACTGTAGAGTTGGAAGGGACCCCTGGGTCATCTAGTCCAACCCCCTGCAATGCAGGAAGAGCTCAGCTCCTCTTTACGCCCCTCTCGCTTTAGTTCCCTCTGCAACCCCCCCAGGAGGTTTCTGACTTTCCTTACCAAGGTAAGAGGGGAGCCAGGGAGGAAAGGTTTGGGGTGCCAGAGACACAGCCAAGGGGAGGGCGGTGAAGCCTCCTGGGGGAGGGTGTGCGAGGGAGCGGGGGGAGGGTCTCGGGATGTGGGGCAACCCCCCCCGGAGCTGTCTGGCAGGGTCAAGGGGGCCCGACGCTGCTGACGGTGGTGTAGCTGAACTTGGAGAGGGAGGCCCCCGTGGCCGTGAGCTCGTCCTCGGGGGGCCGAGGGCGCCTCCGGCAGCAGGGGGCCGCCCGGCCGCAGGAGCAGGTGGCGGCAAAGGCCTTGCGAAAGCGCTTGTTCATGAAGCAGTAGACGAAGGGGTTGACGCAGGCGGAGGCGAAGCAGAGCAGCTGGATGAAGGAGATGGGGGTCCCCGAGAGGGCGCGGTGGGCGGCCTGGGGGTCAAAGGCCCGCCAGGTGTTGACAGCGTAGAGGGGCAGCCAGCAGACGAAGAAGAGCACCACAATGGCCACCAGCATGCGCACCACCCGCTGCTTGGCCAGCAGCTTCGCCCGGGAGGTGTTGACGCGAGCCGCCTCCTGCTGGGAGCCGTCCTCGGGGGTCAGGACCGACAGCTCCACCGCGCCCCCCGCCGGCCGGGACACCTGGACGTAGCAGCCGTCGCCCTCCTCCACGCAAGGCGGGAGTGGCTCTGTGGATCCCCCGTTCTGCTGGGCTGGGGGACACAAGGGGGAAGGGCGTGTGAGGAGGGCTTGGGGGAGCGGGGGACTCCCAGGGCCATCCAGTCCACCCTCTGCAGTGCAGGAATCTGAGCTGAAACATCCCAGGCAGATGACCACCCAACCTCTGCTGGAAAACCTCCAGGAAGGAGAGCCCACCATCTTCCCAGAAAGTTTCTCCTGATCTTTAGGCAGAATCTCCTTTCTTGTGAGTTGAATCGGTTGGCTCAGGTCCTCCCTTCAAGCTCGCTCCACCTTTTATGTGACTTGAATGGTGGTAGGGGTCTCCTTCCTTGGAGGTTGGATGGTCGCTTTTCAGGAGTTCCTTAGCTCCGATTCCTGCTTCCTTGGGGGGGTTGGACTAGATGACCCCTGGGTTCCCTTCCGATTCCATGATTGTGACATTTCTAACACAGCGCCCGTCCTCAGGCAGAGCCAACAGGGTGGCCAACATTAGGTGCACAAGTAACATGAGGAACAAGCTTCAAAACGTAGCCCAATAAACAGCAAAATGGGTTTCTGAGGCATCAAAACTGCCGGTGACTCAGTTACACTGGTCCCTCTGGCCTCGATCCGAAGGCTTGTACAGATGCAAAGGTCTTGCATGACACCTCAACAAAAAATTTTTTTGGGGGGGTTATCCAGGCCTGTGCATCTTTACAAGCCCAGAGACCCGCTGCCCTGCCTCCCCCCAGCCTCCGGCTTAGCTGATGAGCCCACCCCCAGCTTTTCCCACCCCTGCCCCACACCAACCTTTGGCCTGCCGGGTGAGGTCCATCTCAAACTGGATGCCCCTGTAGAGCTCCCGGGAGATCAGTCCATAGGCCACGATCATCACCAGTCCTGGAATCAGGAAGAGAGTGACCAGCAGCAGGACGGACCTGGCCAGGAGGGAAGGGGAGATGGTTGCCCTTGAGAAAGGCCTCACTCTCCCCCCTGGACTTGCCAGACCCTCTTTCCAAAGCGCTCCCAGGTGCACAAGGTAAACTCACATCCACAAGTACGTAAGCAGGACAGAGAGCAACACAGCAGCAATTGAGCCCCCCGGTCAGCCTTGGAGAACCTCTCAAGTCGCGTCACAGGGAAGCCCTCTGCAAAACCAGTCTGGCAAGTCTCTGTTGAGCTTGCCAAGCAGACCTGCCCAAAGGGCATCTTCTGGGCATGGATGGGGAGCCAAGGCATTCAGCATTCCCAAAAGACAGGCCAGGAAGGGCCATTGTCAGGTACTGTCGTGCACCTTGATGGAGAGACTTGTAGACAGGTTGGAGAAACAGGACCTCTGAGCATGAGCTGATGTACACGGCCAACCCATTTTGCAATGTCACTGACATTTTTGTGTGGGATGCCAAATACAAGAGCAGTCAAGTACAACCTTCCTAGAGTGAACATGTTTACACATGGGGAGGAATGTCCAGCCAGCAGGTCAACTTCCTGTTTCCTTCTGGGCTGGGACAGACTTCCTCTGCATGTGACTAGAGGTGGGTGTGGCCTCACCTGTGCAGGTAATGACAAAAGCACAGGGCAGGGCAGCCATCTCTCTCTGTGACTACATGCATCGAAGAAGCAACATCTACTTAGCCAAAGATGCTCTTCCAGCCAAGAGAGGACAAAGGGATTGTCTCCTTATGAGATAGTTTCTAGGTATATGTTATGTTACTTTTCTAAGCTAAGTCTGCCTTCTGGGATCCGATTGTGAACAGAATGATGTGTGAGTAAACCTTTTTATACTTTTATAGAAGTCTGTGTCGTGTCTTATCTTTTATGAGGGAATAAGGGGAAAATACCACAATAGTTATTCTAGAGGCTTTAGAGACCCTGAGCAAACGCATCCGCTGCAAGTTTAAAAAAGGGGAATGTTACTCTGCTAAATTGTGAACTTGTTTACACAAGTTGGAAAGGCTATAACCAGACATTATCTCCTCTCCTGCATCCCTGAACATTCCCACATTTTGATGCGGTCTTTCTGCGATGGGCACAAAACACTTTCCCTCCCACTGGAATTCGTGGCCGTTCAATGAAGCTGAGTGTCGGATGATTCAGGATAGAGAAAATTAAACCTGTCCTCATGCAGCGCAGAGTTAAACTGCTCCTGGATTCCAGTTTCTCGGATCCTGCTTCCCACAGACAATTGTTCAGCCACGGCAAAAACAGGATGTTGGACTGTGTTGGCCACTGGGATCTAACAGGCTCTTACATTCTTAAAGAGCGCCCAAAGGGTGGAAAGGGCGGAAAGCCACCACTCTGACCGCCTCTGATCTGTGGGCCTTTGCCTTTTTCTGTACAAAATGGCTTTTTTTTTAATTAAAAAAGGGCTGTGAGTCAGCAAGTCAAGAGATGGTACTTAGAGTCTGATTGATGGGCCCATCGACATTCTGCCCAGGGCTGCCCTCTCAGGCCTGGTTTACTCATTAAACTTGGCTCCTGTGCGGAGGAGCTAAAAGGAGGAGCCGTGCTTTTAATGCTGTTCAACACGTGTCCTTGTGGCCAGCAAATTGACTGGGGAGGCTTCCAGACCTCCCGGAAAGCATTCCCTTGTCAAGCAAGGTGCAGAGTCTTCAGCCCAGAAAGCAGACAGGCGCTCTGGGGCAAAACTTGGGCTCATCACAACTCAAACTGCCCTGATACATCCATGCTACACCTCTTCCCATATGAACCTTCCCGGACCCTGAGATCATCCTCTGAGGCCCTTCTTCATGTGCCTCCTCCTTGAGAGGTCCAGAGGGTGGCAACAGGAGAACGAGGCCTTCTCTGCAGTGGCTCCCCGTCTGTGGAATGTTCTCCCCAGGGAAGTTTGCCTGGCACATTCATTATACACCTTTAGGCGCCAGGCAAAAACGTTCCTTTTTAAGCAGGCCTTTGGCTAATCTTATTGACATCCAACACCCTTTCAGAATGTGGGGTGTTTTTTTTTGGGGGGGGGTTATATTGGGTGGTTGCTTTTGGTTTGATTTTATATGTTGTGGTTTTGTTGAGAACGGCCCTGAGACCTCTGGGTATAGTGTATAAGTTGAATTATTATTAATAATAATTAATAATAATAATAATAACACACCCGCCAAGTTTCCCTCTTGCACACTGCAAGATGTTTGGCGTGGGGGGCTGGGCAAATGCCGCCATCCCTTTGAGCAAGGACTTTGTGCCTGTCTCTGCCCCCCCCCGCTTCTCCCATGGGTGCTCCCCCATGGCTTCCTGGGGGGTTCCCCCAAATCTTTAAACCAGTGCCTCAAAGGAGTTGTGCCTTCAGCGCCCCCCACTTTCCCCCTCAAGCCGCTGGGGCTGCAGCCTGAGCAGAAGGAGGCCTCAGGATGAACGGGGCCCCAATCCTGCCATGTCTTTCTTCACGCTGCTGCAACTGCTCTGGTGAGAGATCAGCGGGTGCTGCTTGGGGGGGGAGGGCAGCACTTCTGATGACTGGGTCTGTGCAAGGGGACTACGTGCAGGGGGTTTTTTTGGGGGGGGTGCATCCAGGAACAATTTATATATGTCATGTATTTACTTAAATCCCACTTCAGCTTCATAGCTGAGTTGGGCTCTGAACCCTGGTCCCTTCTAGGTCTAACCACTGCACCACACTGCCTCTCAGGAGGCCTGTCACGCTTGGGGACCGTCAGCTCTGTGGGACATGGTGTCCTGCACACCAAGAGAAAACCCCAACACTCAAACACATGGGAGATCCGGGATGGGTAAAAGAAAGTCCTTCTGCATGCAGTGCAGTGTTAGTCTGTGGAACTCCCTCCCTCATGAGGCAGCCATGGCCACGAACTCGGATGGCTCTGGAGAAATAAATTCACGGAGGGGGAGAGCGCTATCAGTGGCTCCTAGCCATGCTTCTGAACACCAGTTTCTGGAACCCTCAGGAGAGGAGAGTCCTCTTGGGCCCAGATCCTGCTTACGGGTTTTCCCATTGAGGATCTGCTTGGCCCCTGTGAGAAGAGGACCCTGGGCCAGACGGGTCCCCTTTGGCCGGATCCAGCAACCCAGGTTCTCTTTGGGTCCTCCTGGAGCCCCCAGTCCCAGTCTATCTTGCTCCCTAGGGGATTTGGCCACTGGGAGGACTGGCTGCTGGGCCTGATCCGGCCGGGCTCTCCTTCTTCTCCTTGCGCCAGGGCCCAGCGCTCTTCCCCCTCCCCCCGCTCCTCACCAGGCCTGCTTGACGTTGCTCCCGGGCCACTTGTGGGTGCACTGGGTGATGTGGGGCTCTCCGGGCTGCGTGGTGGTGGTGGTGTAGATGGGGTAGGGCAGCATCAGGAGAGCCGAGATCAGCCAGGTGGCGGCGATGACGCGGTAGGCGTGGGAGCGGGTCTGCCAGACGCGCGACTGGAGCGGGTTGCAGATGGCGTTGTAGCGCTCGATGGCGATGGCGACGAGGCTGAAGGTGGAGACGCTGACCGCCATCCCTGGGGGAGGATGGGGAACAGAGGAAGAGGGTCAAGGAGTCCCGTCTCAGACCCACGGAAGCCCCTTCCCCTGCGTGGGGCTCAAGGGCGCCCCCGGCTCACCCATGAGGTAGGCGACGGCCTTGCAGACGACCTTGCCAAAGACGAAGGTGCCCATCAGGCTGGGGATGAAGCTGAAGGGCAGGCAGAAGACGGCCACCATGAGGTCGCTGAGCGCCAGCGAGAGCAGGAAGGAGTTGGTGACGGTGCGCAGGCGCTTGTTGGCCACCAGCACCCAGATCACCAGCACGTTGCCGAAGACGCTCAGCAAGAAGATCACCGAGTAGAGAAAGATCCGCACGGTCACGTCCAGGTCTGCTGCAGAGGGATGATGATAATAATAATAATAATAATAATAATAATAATAATAATAACAACAACAATAATAATAATTTATACCCTGCCCATCTGGCTGGGCTTCCCCAGCCACTCTGGGCGGCTTCCAACAAAATCTTAAAATACAGTAATGTAGTTTAAATGATGTCATGAAGAGGGCAGGGGGAGAGGCCAGCGTGAGCCCTCCTGCCCCGAATGAGGGGGGTGGCAGCCAAGCGGGCCGGCCAGCCTGGCCCCAGAGAGGCCAACCAGGAGCTATGGGGCTTATGCTACCCCCAGGGTGTCGGGATTCTGTGGCTGTGTTTCCTGCATTGCTGGGGGTGGACTCGATGACTCCCGAGGGTCCCTTCCCACTCGACAGTTCTAGGGTGCTTGCAGCTTCCCTGTGCTTCAGCCTGGGGGGGGGTGTCTCTTTAGCGATGAGCTTCCTTGGGGAGTATTATAATAATAATACTTCCACCCCCCCATCTGAATGGGTTGCCCCAGCCATTCTGGGCAGCTTCCAACAGGTATAAAAACATAATAAAACATCAAACTTCTCTAAACAGGGCTGCCTTCAGATGTCTTCTAAAAGTCAGATAGTTGTTTAGTTCCTTGACATCTGGTGGGAGGGCGTTCCACAGGGCAGGCGCCACCACCCAGAAGGCCCTCTGCCTGGTTCCCTGTAACTTCACTTCCCACAGTGAGGGAACCAGCAGAAGACCCTCAGAGGAGGACCTCAGTGTCCGGGCAGAACGATGGGGATGGAGACACTCCTTCAGGTATATTGGGCCGTTTAGGGCTTTAAGGTCAGCACCAACGCTTTGAATTGTGCTCAGAAATGTACTGGGAGCCAAGGTAGGTCTTTCAAGACTGGTGTTATATGGTTTCGGCGGCCGCTCCCATCACCAGTCTAGCTGCCGCATTCTGGATTAGTTGTAGTTTCCGAGTCACCTTCAAAGGTAGCCCCAGGCAGAGCGCATTGCAGCAGTCCATCCTCCCTTTCTCCCAGACAGGGGCAGTTCTGGATCTGGTCTGCCCAACTCTCCATATCCTGTGTGTGCCACTCACCACCCTGGGGTGTTATGCACTTTTCTCCTACCTACTGCCACCTGACCTTCTCTCAGCAGCTGCTGGCAGCTCCCCTCGCCCCCCCCGGCCACTCCAATGCCAGCCTCCCTGCTCTGAGTAGGCCGCTGGCACTGCTGCTGCCCACGGAGGCCTCGCCAGGCCCTGAAACCTGCAGAGGCTGACAGCTGGCCTCCCCTGGGAGTTTTCTGAGGGTGGCTCGTTTCGGAGATGGGCCTTGCCCACCCAAGACACCCACCCTCGTGCCACCCATCCCAGAGGACCCAGGCGTCCTGCTATCCTTGCCGGACGCCTCTCCAGGTGTTGCTTCCTCTGGTTTCTCCCAGGGAAGAGGCCGCTGTTTGCCAAGGTACCTTTCTGCTGATAAGGATGTGTCAGCCGGCCGTGACATGCAGAGATGGGAGCGGAAGGCAGGAGGGAGCAGGCAGTGCCAGCGCCAACAGCCCCCCCCAACAGGGGTTTGTGTGTGTGGAGAGCTGTGCGCACACCTACACAGAGACAACCCAGATCTTCCTCTCTCTCCCTGCCCCTGCCAAGGACATGCCTTCCAGCTGACCCTCCCCCAGAGGGCGGAAGACCCCTGGGCATGACTGCCTGGCACCCCTCCCCTTGTGCCTCTGAGACCCAGACCCTCCGCCTCCCAAACCTCCTCTCTGAATTAACGCAGGAGGGGTGAGGATCACAGCCGTACCTTGGAAGTCGAACGGAATCCGTTGTGGAAGTCCGTTCGACTTCCAAGACATTCAGAAACCAAGGAGCGGAAGGCGACCGGCTTTCAAAAAAGTTCGAAAAAAACCTGAACAATCACTTCCAGTTTTCGATCATTTGGGAGCCAGAATGTTCGACTCCCAAGGCGTTCGGGAGCTGAGGTAGGACTGTACTTTTGATTATTATTTATTAAATTGGAGGCTCACTTTATCTTGCCAAAGGCAACTCAAAGCAGCTTAGAAGCAAACGAGCAAAGCAACCAACCAACCAACCAACCAACCAACCAACCAACCAACAGAAAACCTCTACAGAGATACTTTAAAATGAAACAAAGAACATGTTGAAATAATACCTTAAAGATACATTGAAAACACCATACCGTTCTAAGAGATCACAGAGAAACACAAGCCAGAGAGCTAGTTAACGAGGAAAGTTTTTGCCCAGCATGAAAGCCATGAGATGATTGTGCCAGGTGAGCCTCCCCGCGGAGAGCCTTCCGCAAACTGGAAGTCGCCTCTGAAAAGGCGGGAGGGAGTCCCACTCTCTTTCGCAGAAGGGAGACTGAGGGTCATCTAGACTGACCCCCTGCAATGCAGGAATCTCAACTCAAGCATCCATGACAGGCGGCCGTCCGATCTCTGCTTCAAAACCTCCAAGGAAGGAGAGTTCACCATTTCCCCAGGGAGACCTCTCCACTGTCAATTCATAATAAGTAAATGACTCCTGATGTTTAGTCGGAATCTCATTTCTTGCCCCTTTGAATCCACCAGTCTGGGTGTTACCGTCTGGAGCGGCAGAAAACAGCCTAGCTTCACCTTCCGACTAAACATTAGGAAGAACTTTCTGGGAGTAAGAGATATTTGGCGGGCGGGGGGGGTGGACTCCCTCCCTGAGAAGGGGGCAGGTTCTCCTTCTGAAGCAGAGCTTATCATCACCTGTCATTCTTGTTATCTGTTTATTGATACCCTGCCTTTCCCCCTGTTGGAATGTGAGGTGGCTGACAGATAAAATACAAACAGCTAAAAACATAGGGGAGGAAGTCATTAAAAAAATAAAAATAAACATTACTAGAATAAACCTGTCTGTCCGTCTGTCTATCTATCTAGTGCTTTTTATTTAAAAAAAATGTTTAGGGGTACTCTCATTTTGTTTTCCTTTTATCTCCCTACTTTATAAAGGAAAACAAAATGAGAGTACCCCTAAACGATTTTTTAAAGAAAAAAGCACTAGATAGATAGATAGATAGATAGATAGACAGACAGACAGACAGACCCACAGACAGGTTGGTCACGAAGAGTCGGACACGACAAAACGACTAAACAACAACTCTCATTTTCCTACTCATATTGAAATCCTGCCCCTCAATGTTGCCAAACTTAGATTCACAAAATGTTTTGGGGTGTGCGTCCCTCTGCGTCCCCCCAGAAAAAAACACACACACTCTCTCTCTATCTGTCTGAGCTATTTTAAGACATACAATTGTAATGAAACCAGCAGGGTCCCAACCCTTTCATTATAAGCTCCCCTGTTGGAACAAGAAGGTCTTCGGCTACCAGGGAAGGACAACCAGGAGGGAGCCAGTCTAGCTTCCCAAGGGAGGGAGTTCCACTGGGTGGCCTCTGTCCCGGATGCTTCAGCTGAGATTCCTGCATTGCTGGGGTTGGACTAGAGGACCTTTGGGGTCCCTTCCAATTCTACGATTCCAGGATTCGAGGGGGACAGCCCTTCCGATATTAGAAGATGGCTATCCCGTCTCCTCTCGGTCTCCAAGCCCAGCTCCCTCCACGGTTCCTCCCGCGCCTCATCCTGCTCTCCCTCCTCCGCACACCTTCCCGGCCGGACTCGAGGGGCCCCTGGCACTGTCCTCATGCTCTTACCCCCAGGAGAGAAGCCAAGCCCCCCCCGAAAGCCCCCCAGAGAAGAGAAGCCAGGGGTCCGACCTGGAGGGACACGGCAGCACCCAGGCCACAAAAGAACTCTGTGCATGCTCCGAAGTCCTCCAAGGACCGGAGGGAATGGCTGAGATGGACTGCGGGAGGGGGTGTCAGGACCTGCAAAGGGCAGAAAGGGAGGCTGGAGGACCCGATCCAGGGACGTGGAGGCGACACCACGTGGAGACGAGGGGGTCTCCCCGCTGCCTCAAACACGGGCTTGGGCTGGGGAGGCTCCAAATAGTTGACTTGGGGGTTTCACCAGAAAATAGGGGTCTATCAAAAGGCACCCCCTATTTTCTGGCGACAGGGGTCTCCTCTAGCATGCTGAGGGAGAAAGTCCATTACCCTCCCCAGCGCCGTTGGGGCTGTGTGGAATCGCGAGTGGGGGGCGCTTCAGACTTCCCACGCGAGAAGCGCGAGGGGGTCCCCGGAGGAACGTGTGGGTTGTGTGTGTTGCATGTCCCCTTTGGGGGTGTCCCAGGCAAAAAGGGAGACGGTGATGGGGGCTCCCACCCTCTCCTTTGGGGGGATCTTGCGGGGTGGGCGCGGGAGATGTGCGCGCGTGCGCGCGTGGCGGGTGGATTCCGGTATTAGGCTCGCCGGTGCTGCAGAGAAGGTGGAATTTTTTTGGGGGGGGGGGCTGTCCCGGTCCAGCGATGCCTTGGGCGGGGTCCCCTTCCTCCTCACCTCCGGCTCCGCGCGGGGGTCTCCGCGAAGCGTCGCAGCCTCCGCCGGTCCCGTTCCAGACGCCGCCGGCCGAGCCGTTCCCGGTCCGGCCGCACAGCAGCGACTCGTTGAAGGGGCGCGCAGCCTCCATCCTTGGCGGGTCCTCCGGGCCGGGCGCTCAGCGGCGTGGCGTCGCGGGCAGCAGCCCAGGCAGACTGACGCCCCCTCCTCGCCCGCCGCCGCCTCCGCCGCCGCTGCCTCCTCCCCCTTCGCTCGCCGCCGCCGCCGCCTCTGCAGCCGCCCGGCTCAAGGCTGCTGCTGCCACCCCGCGCCCGACACCCAGCGCCCCCTGACGGCGGACGGGGCCCTCGCGGCGCCCGGGAGCTGCGGTCCGCGGCGCAGGCGGGGCGCTCTGCACATGCCCCGGCGGCGGGGGCGGAGCGCAGGCCAATCACAGGCTGGCAGAGTGGGAAGGGAACCCAGGGGTCATCTAGCCAACGCCTGCAAGGAAGGAGGGCCGCTCTGGAACAGCTTGGCGGCGCCGAGGCTCACCCTTGAGCATGGGCAGAGTTCGGGGTGGCGAGGCGCTTTCCACACGAGAGCCGCACCCCTTGCCCCAGGGCATGTGCAGAGTGCTCCCTGGTCTTTCGGGGAAGAAGGGCGGCCGGCCGGCGCTCAGACTCCAGCCAGCCAGGCGCGGTGCGGGGGCATCAAAAGCCCCCACCCCTGCGCGGGCCAAACTGCTGGCCCTCGGGCTCCTCGAGTGTGGGGGGGTGGCGTCTCCCAGCAGCAGCCCCGAGCCGGAGAGCCGACGCCGTGTTTGCTGGGGGAGGGGCGGAGGCACCTGACCGCCCCCCCCCGCTGTTGACACAGGTGGTTGTTTACCTGGCCGAACGGCAGCCAGGTAAGTGCTGCCTGCGGGTCCGAGCGGGGGAGGGAGCCTGGCAGCCGCAGAGGGGGGCTGCTCCTCCCTCGAAGCCTCCCCCGTGGCACATCTCCTCCCCTTGACCGCCCCCCCCCCCCCACGATCCGAGAGGGGAGAATTTTGCGAAGTGCAGCTTCTCTCGTTCCTCCTGGTCCCCAGTCCCCCCCTCTCTTGGGTCAACCTCCCTCGCAGGGTCGTTGTGGGAAATGAATGAGGAGCTGGAGAAGCCCCTGGTTGCGCCCCTTGAGCTCCTGGGAGGGAAAAGGTTGGCTATGAACGCAATAAAAAGAGCCACAGTTCTCTGCTCCTGGCGGGGGGGGGATCCCTCTCTGTCTCTTTGCGGGGGAGGCGCTGGCTTTCATTTGGCAAAGCAAGGTTGTCAGGGCGGCGGGATGGGGATCTGGGCTTGCAGTAGACCAAGCAGCCGGACGTGGCGGGACTGCTGAGCGGGGAGACGGGAGCCTCCGGGAATAGCAACAAAGGAGGGCAGGTTCTCCTCCGGTGCCCTGGGGGGCTCTGCGCCTGCGTGGCCTGGGGGCTCTTCACACTTTCCCTTTCTTGGCTTCCCCTTCAAGCTGCCTTTTGATGTCTCTCTCTGAGTTTTGGAGAGAGGGATGAAGGGGGGGAGAGAGGGGGTGATCTCCTCCTCCTCCTCTGTGCAGAGGGTGGCGGCTGCCACTAGGAAAAGGGGGTCAGTGAAGGCAGAAGATGCGGCCCTGTTGGCAGGGGCTGGCAGGACCCTACACAGGAAGAGGGGCTGGAGTCCGGCTTGAAAGAGGGGGCAGTGATTTGTGGGGAACTGGGCCAGTCTGGAGGCAAGAGGCGGAGGCAGGGGATGCTTCAGAGCTGGAGGAAGAGGAGGATGAGGCAGGCCAGGCCAGGGAAGGGCCAGGGGCTTCCCCACCTTCTCCTGAACCTCCATCTCCCAGAACCAGGAGGGGACTGAAGAGGGAAGGGCAGAGGGAGCTTCCGTGCAGGCTCAGTCTCTGGCCGTGAGGAGCGTAAATGGAGGGAGGGAGAGTCGCTCCTGTTGTTGCAGCTGCCCATAGAGTGCAGACCTGGGAATAGCTGCATCCTAGCTCAAAGCTACCAGCATGAGTCTGACCAAACTGCGGGAGGCGATGGAATAATAATATAAATAAATAAAATTTTATTTATATCCCGCCCTCCCCAGCCAATGCCGGGCTCAGAGCAGCTAACAGCAATAAAAGTAACACAGCATTCTAAAATCAAGTCATTCTAAAATCAATACAAAATCAAATTAATGGCAACCATTGGGCTAGAGTTCTCTGAGGGTTACCAAAGGAGGGAGTCAGGCTGTGCCCTGGCCAAAGGCCTGGTGGAACAGCTCTGTCTTACAGGCCCTGTGGAAAGATGTCAAGCCCTGCAGGGCCCTAGTCTCTTGGGACAGAGCGTTCCACCAGATTGGGGCCACAGCCGAAAAAGCCCTGGCTCTGGTCGAGGCCAGCCTAACCTCCCTATGGCCTGGGACCTCCAAGATGTTTTTGTTTGAAGACTGTAAGTTCCTCCATGGGACATACCAGGAGAGGCGATCCCATAGGTACGACGGTCCTAGGCAGGAGTGCCTGGCGTGCTCTGGTCCATGGGGTCATGAAGAGTCAGCTGGAAGAGCTCCTTCAGGTTGCACTTCCAGGCATGGATTCCTGGAGTCAGAATTGTAGAGCTGGAAAGGGACACGAGGGTCATCTAGTCCAGCCCCCTGCAATGCAGGAGTCACGGGTGAAGAATCCCTCACAGGTGGCCATCCAACTTCTGCTTAAAAGCCTCCAAGGAAGGAGAGTCCACCGCCGTCCCAGAGAGACTGGCCATCAGAAAGTTCTTCCTGATGTTTAGTCCAAATCTCCTTTCCTGCCCTCCCCTCTGGAGCAGCAGAAGACAAGCTTGGTCCCTCTGGCAGCCCTTGAGATATTGGAAGATGGCTCTCCTCTCAGTCTCCTCTTCTCCAGGCCAAACATACCGCGGGGATTCGAACTGCCGACCATACGATCGGCAAGTCCTAGGCACTGAGGTTTTACCCACAGCGCCACCCGCGTCCCTAGTCAAAAGATGCAAAGAGCCAGATGGCTGGATCCGAACCAAAGGTCCATCTGGGCCAGCGACTGGAAAGCCAACCCCACAGTGGCCACCCCATTTGTGGGGTCTGATAAGGAAGCAGGGGGCTGGGCTGTGGGGCAGTTGTCAGCTGGACGGGCACCTTCCCTGGGGAACCACGTTCTGGGGGAAGGAGGCCAGGATTGACCCCCAAGGCCTGGGGTGTCCCTCCCCTGTAGTAGGACTTGGAATGTGTGTGTGGGGGGAAAATCTTGGAATAGCCTTGCCAGGTGCTCAGGGAGGGACTCACCTGTCCCCATGTCCTTCTCTTTGCAGTTCTGCTGTGGTTCCACATCCCTACCAGAGGGGTGAGTTTTGAGAGAACCAGAGCAGGGACTGGACCCCTCAGACCTGCTCCCCGCTACCCGGGCTCTTTGCCCCCCACTCTGCCCTTCCAGATGTGGAGGAGCCCTCTGCTTGTGAGGAACATATGCCTCTTTGCCTTCCAAGGAATAATACAGGAAACAAAAACAGAGCACCAATTCCCTGACCTTCCCTCAGAGTTAGAAGAGGACATGCCCCCCTGGCTATGGGGAACAGAATCCACCTCAGTAGGACTTTTAAAATCAGCCACGCCAGTCAAGATTACCTGTCGGACAGATCTACCATACCCATGTAGTCAACAATCCCCTGTACCTAAAGAGGGTATTAAAGGCTTGAGATCCCATGATAAATAATTTCCCAGAGAAGGGAATTCTAGTTCATTGTGCCTTTCCTTGTAATACCTCCTTACTTCCGATTAAAAAACCGGTGGAGAGACCCCAGTGCGCTACCGCTTAGTCCAAGATTTGAGACTCGTTAACCAATTTGTGATACAGTGCCTCCCAGTGGCAGGCAACCCAAATTCCCTTTTAAATGCCATCCTGGCAGAAACTACCTGGTAGTTCCTTTTTGCTTTTACCTGGAAAGCAGGCCAACTAATCTGGACAAGGCTGCCCCAGGGATATGCGGAGTCACCCGCCATATTTTCCTCAATCTTGCATCAAGATCTACAGGACGTACTTCTGCCTGCAGGGTCTGTGCTTCTGCAATACATTTATGACCTTTTAATATGCTCAACTCTTGGGAGAAAAGCAATGACAAACCTAGACAGCATTTTAAAAAGCAGAGACATCACCTTGCCAACAAAGGTCCGTATAGTTAAAGCCATGGTTTTCCCAGCAGTGATGTATGGAAGTGAGAGCTGGACCATCAAGAAGGCTGGTCGCCGAAGAATGGATGCTTTTGAGTTATGGTGCTGGAGGAGACTCTTGAGAGTCCCATGGAATGCAAGAAGATCAAACCTCTCCATTCTAAAGGAAATCAGCCCTGAGTGCTCACTGGAAGGACATCTCGTGAAGCTGAGGCTCCAAGACTTTGGCCACCTCATGAGAAGAGAAGACTCCCTGGAAAAGACCCTGATGTTGGGAAAGATGGAGTGCACAAGGAGAAGGGGATGACAGAGGACGAGATGGTGGCACAAAAGGCACGGCCTGGCGCCACTACTCTACATGCAAAATTAAGATGACCCAACAGGGATTGCACCTGGCGAAGGGTGGTCTTTTTAACCCCAAGCATTGCCTCCAGCAAAACTTTCAAGGATTCCAACTTGGTTTGCGGTAGGCGCGACGACTGCCAAATTGTGTCCAATTCAATACCCAAGTAGGAAAGGAGAGTCGAAGGGCCCTCGGTCTTGTCAGCAGCCAGAGGTATGCCAAAGTCAGCTGCAAGGTGCATGAATGTAGCTAGGGATAGGGCACAGTTGGGGGAGTCTGGGGCCCCAATGATAAGAAAGTCATCTAAGTAATGGGTCACAAAAGGGGAACCAGGTGTGGTTTTGAAGGCCCATTCAATGAATGTGCTGAAGGTTTCAAAGGCTGCACAGGCCACAGAGCAGCCCATGGGCATAGCCTTGTCAAAGTACCAGCTATTCCTGAATTTGAATCCAAGCAGCCAAAAATCTTCAGGATGAACTGGGAGCAGCCGAAAGGCTGACTCGATGTCACATTTTGCCAATAAGGCCCCAGTGCCCAATTCCCTGATCATTTTAATGGCCACATCCAAGGATGCATATTTTACTGAACAAAGCTCCCGTGGTATGGCGTCGTTTACAGACCCACCCCTAGGATAAGAAAGGTTGTGTATCATGCGGAACTCACCAGGAAGTTTTTTGGGCACTATGCCAAGAGGGGAAGCTAT